ATCACTATACAGTCCATGGATCAGGAACACACCCGTTCTCTTAAACACAATCCTTACCTTTCGAACTGTTCTACACACTATATCTTTCTTCCAGCGACTTTAGAACTTAGGAAGCTCGTCAGCAGATTCTTCCATGTGTATATATCTAGAAAACAATTAGATGATTTAACAATGGCCAGTATCGAATGCTACACTAGAAAAGAGGGAAGATTCAAGTTCAAGAAACGATTCTCTGACTTTAAAGTTATAGCAATCGATCTGAAGAAAATCATCATACCAGAAACTAAAATGTATGATGCCATTGTAATGTGTTGGTGTTTCGATACCAGATGATCCCAGAAACCGAAATGCCAGAGGGAATAATCGTTAGTAAAAGAATATTATAAGAATTAAAACGAAATATTAAAGCGGCAGAATTATTATTATTATTTTTTATTCTTTAGTGCACCCGTTTTTGTCAAACTAGTGTATTCTTCTACGTCATCCCTACATTCTTTCAATGAAGGTATAATGTATTAAGAAACACTATTGTTTTCCGGTGACCGGTAAGGTTTTATTTATATATCGAACGGCTCACTTTATGACGTTTTTTTTGGGTACTAATTACATCATTAATTGCCAGATAATTAACAATAGTCGACAGAGGAAAATTGTACTTTAAACGTCGACCCGGGTAGAGTATAATCGAGATACAGTACACCCCCTTTTCGTAGGGAACTTTTTCGAAATATCACGTGATGATGGTTCTTTATTAAGTTTACTATTGTTTGGGTGTTTGTTCTCCCCTTTTTGCGCTTAAATTATCTATTTTGTGTCTTTTTCTATTTATAAATCTGTTGTTAATAAAAATTAATTTTGACTCAGATTTAATTAACGTGAAGAACGACTGTGTTTGCAAGTACAGTACTTTTCTGTTTGTAAACACTGATTCGAGTTTTACGTGTTCTAGGAGCACTTTTTAGCAGTATTTTTCGCGAAAATTCATCACCTTTTTTTAAATTTTGCACACCATCTTCCCAATTTACGGGAGATTAAATTTATCTACTCTTAATACAATAAAAGTACAAATGTCACAATGTATTCGATAGAATATTGTAATATTTGTATTTATTACACATCGGTCAATAATAATAGCTGTTAGACGTTTACTATCGATCGTAGAGGTCTTTCACGCAACTACTGGCACGTGCTTTCCTAAACAAGCGCACGCATACTACTAAAACAATACATTCACAATAGCCAGAATGGAAAAGTCTCTACGGAGGAATCTCCATTGTTGACGTTACACACGATCGATTACGATGTGTTTATAGCAATTCGTAGACGGTGTTAACCTACTTAGTGCTACGTAGTAATACGTTATAAGCGTCTTTTATATTAATATAATAGACAATGGACCGAGTGTTTATATCAAACGTGTGCTAAAATTATTAGGGATTTTAGTGTATATTAGGGTAACAATTTAAGAATTTTCTCTGTAATGAATTACGTTGACTTAATTATCAAGTTATTTCTTCCACAGTTTTAGAAAGACCATGCATTAATTATTTTCTTTATATTCGCAATACACTGGAATCTGTGTTTAGGACACTTAACACAGTGGAAATGTGGGTTAGAATTCCGTAGCAAAATCCCTGATTATAAGTTTTTACCATCAAATTAATGGACTGTTATATCGAAAGAATTTTTAATATATTTGAAAATATTACGCTTATAAAGAGGGGGTATGCGCAGCTTTCTCGGGAATGTCGACAAAAACAATGGCTTGTATTGTACTACGTTGTATCAATTGTACGGTACGAAGAAATATAGCACTGTATCGTTCACTTTCTTACGGTACGGTATATAAATTTACGCACTGCGAGTAAAACAGGTTGCGCATCCCCCCTATAAAATACCATTATTTATTTATTTGTGTGTAGATGACCGATCTGACCTTTTACTTTTACGCAGCCCGACGCCTGATCCGAGATTTGCACGAGTGTCAAGAAGCGCAATGCACGTGTGTATCCAGGAATCCTTTAAACGCAAGAAGCACAGCCACCACCCCCACTGTACCACACTGCCAGACACGTTTCTTCGTACCAGGAACGGAAAGCATTTCATCGAACGACCGACGTACCACGTTACCGCACTTAATTTCGTCGAGCGTTACTTAATTTCGATACCGAATCCATCTCGCGCGGTGCATAATTGGTTAGAGGGACGGAAGAACTGACGTCACAATCCATAGAGCTTTTCTTCTTTTAAGAATATTAAATATATATTTTTATATATTATACGGGGAAAATATTGAGAATATAATAAATGTTTTTATATATTTATGATTAATTTTACTAGAAAAAAATGTATGTTAAATATAGTTTTTTTTTTTAAATTTTATAATTTTTTTAAATAAAATCAACAATAATATATTAATCTCTGGTGTGGCCGAGTATTGTTTCGCATACGCGTGGACAGAGAGGTTCGTGTTTCTGCTAAACTACGGATGCCGAAACAGATATAGATCTTATCGATTATTCCAATCGTTTTGTTTGCGGTAGATTTACAAACATTAAAGTGTAGCGGGTGTTTCGCGCACAACTCGAGACTGGGCACCCAGGCAGCACGGAGGTTCTTCCTCGTTGCCTTACAACCCAGACTTGAGCATCATCTGTTTCGCTCCCTTCGGAATCTTGTCGTCAATACACAAGTTCGATGGCAATACCCGACGCTCGAGAAACACCCAATCGATGTACGCCGACGGGATTGAAAGTTTGGAGCAAAGATGGCGGGCGAGTCGTAATCGTTTCAATATACTGGTGATCTAAATTTCAACTTTATAATGCGTTAAATGACGTAAATCCCGGGAAGTTGTATAATTTGGTCCTTCCTCTTAAAGTTCCAGATGATGGTGATGATAAATTGCAATCCGTGTGTGCATTGGCGGTAATTTGTGCAAAGACAAGCATCGGTGCTTTACGGGTGAAGTACAGTCGGCCCCCTATAACACTGTTGATTATTCCGTTTTATATGAATTCCATGTTGTACGAGTCACTTAGATTTTACAAATACGTGAGCCGTTCACAGCCTAGCACACGTATTTGTAAAAACTAAGTGACTCGTACAACATGGAATTCATATAAAACGGAAAAATTAACAGTGTTATAGGGGGGTCGACTGATAATATAAAAGACGGACATCTTTATGTCTGTTGCATTATTTTTCACACTAATTTACGAGACACGCACGACCGTTACGCTTCACCGACGTATTCCTTTCAACAATTACACCCCCTCCCACCGGTGTTTCGAGCTTCGTTCTAATCTAACATAAGAATTCCCTAGATTATCCGATTAAAATCCTCCAAAAGCAAGAAAACGAAGCAATCGCCATCCTAATCTTCTCGGAGAAGAGTTGAGACCACGAAATCTAACTACCGACACTATATTTTAAAGTTCTTCCGTGTGTCCATCCTTCTTGAAGTGTATTTGTAGTAATGTTAGTTTCATCCATTACAAGAAAATACTGTCAGAAATCAACACTACGTGGGGTCCCGTGGAACTATAACGCGCCACTGGGATGCGGCAATTATTTTGAGATCGGTATATGCGGTTTTACGCGAAGTACGCGTAGGAACGATTCGGCTTTCCTGCACGACAAATCGGTCGGACGGGAAAGTGCTATTAGAAGTCGGTGTTCTAGTATAAACAGATGCATCGCACAAAAGGATCCGAGGGCGCTCGGGGACAGCTTTTAATTAATTATAATTTATACGTCGGCCTCTAGGGCCTTCTAAGCCCTAGAAGGGGGTCCAGTCGGGAAGTAGTAGGAGGAGGAGGTCACCTGTACATAATTATATACATCCCTCCTAGAGTTTAAAACCGATTCAAACAGGATCCACTCCCAACAAAATCTTTGACTCTTGAACTAGGAACGATGGGGTTTCCCGTAATGCAGCCAAAATTTTCTTTCAGAGCTCGAAACTGTTATATATACTGTATATAACACAGGGAAAGTATGGCCATCGATCAGAAATGATCCTTCCCCAAGATTTTTTGCATTTTAGTACTCGGGGACGTCGAGAAATGCACTATATATTTGGGGTTTTTTTTCTGCATATATCATGATTGTGTATGTGGGGGCACAAGATTTTGTTCAGCCTGTTTGAAGCTTAATAACTCCTGCATCTTTTGTCGAAATTTATTATGGGATTGATGCTTGTTATTAAATATTGGTGGTAAAGGTCGAAGGGGTGGGGAGATAGAAGGATACACGTGTTGTATTTCCAGTGGGTTTAATGAAGGTTTTATTCGTTATTAGCATTTACAATTTCTTTTTTATATAAAACTCGTCTATGCCCTCAAAATGTAAGATTTTTGCCATTTTATTATAATATAAAAAGTATTTTAAAAATCTCGTAACAGATGGCGCCGTAGGCGATTCTAACTTTTTACCAGGAAAGTTACGCAACTCGTTGCTGGATATTTTACTTGATTTGTCATTTAATTCTTCTAAGCATCATCGCACGTTGCTTATATCGCTTGCATCCGAAAACGGATCCCTAAAACTATTGATTATTAAAATTTAGTTCGGAATAACTTATAAATGAATTAAAGATTTAATAACTGTTGACGTAATTAACAATTATCAAATCTAATTAACTGTTTTACTGGTAAAGAGTGTCACCAAGAGCGCCCACCAATGGCCGATACAGCCGGTTGCCAATCCAATGTTCGATGGTTTTATCCACTCGGCCGATGGTGGGCCCCGTTAAGATGGGCCTAATTTTCGATTCAGTCCCCTCCTTTCCATTCGAAGTTTCTTCCTGTTCGTCGCCTGCAGAGTGCAAAAGTCGATGGACATTACATCGAAAATCGCCGGAACGTTCGTCTCGCAATATCGGAAGCGAAAGCGAGAAGAGCGACCCGCGCGAGAAATCGCTAATCCGTCGCTATAATTTACTCTAGCGGTGGGAATTTTTTTTTGCCAAATTTCCGAAAACGGAAAAAAACCAATCATTTCTAAACGTCACAATATATTTTAAAAAAGTTCTGCATACATTCGGTCGTCGGATTAAATTATTTTCCGCACATAAATTATAATAAAATCGTGGCCATCGCCGATCTTCCTATGGAACTACGCGGGTCGCACACGTTGGAGTGTTTTAATTTTTGAGACTGTTTTCGCATAACAACAACATGTTAACCACTAATTCTTCGGTGGAGGCGCAACCGCTCTTCAGTTTCTCCATCACCGCGTCTTTGATGCACACTTCGAAGAACAGCGAGATGTTGGAGCGAAATCTGCGCATTCCGTCGCGTCCCTCCGCCGGTTTCCTGCCCAGGTGGCGCAGCACTTCCTCCAGTATGTCGTCTATGCGCCTCTTGCCCCATCCCAGGCTGCGCATCAGTTCCGGATCGTCTACCAGAAGAAACAGAAGTCGCGAGAAGTGGTTCCTCAGGGTGCGCGGGCCATCCGACGCATCGGCCTCTCGGATCCCTCTATCGGACAGACCCAGAAACCTGTTCACTTCCGGAAAGACTCGCGGCCCGCATCCCCCGCAGGCGCACTCGTCCCGAGAATTCGCGTCCTTCCGGGAAGATTCCGGGCATTTTCCGTCGTGCCCCGACGTTTCCTCCTCTTCTGCCGTCTGGCCGATCTCGCTTCCCGCCTCGCCGCGATAGTGGTAGACCGACCGCCCCGTCCTGGCGCCGAGCCGCGCGTCGACGTCAGTCTTGACGAAAATACTCTTTTTGGCTATCTGTAGCCTGGCGCCGGCGCCGTCCGCCACCGACAGCGACGAGCGCCCGTCGGATTCGGCGCCCTTGTCGCCGTGGCGGGAGGGTGACGCCACAGTCTTCAGGTGGCGCAGGAAGTGCATCTGCACCTTCTGGTGATGAGTGAACTTCTCGGGGCAGATCTCGCACTCGTAAGGCTTGTCGCGGCTTATTTCGTTGGGATCCAACCGGTTGGAATTGAAGTGGTTCAGACTGTGAGAGACGTAACCTGTGACGTCACGGAAGACACTGCCACACACCGAACAGCGGAACGAACGGCGTTCCAAAGCTTTGGATTTGTCGCCGCACTCGGCATCCGATTCGTCGTTCCTCTTCTCTTCCCTCTTCACCTCGACTTCTTCAGGGGAAGCGTCCTGGATGCGAGAACGCGACGTGGGTCGCCGATCGCATCGGACGCACTCGTAAGAAGGCCGGCGACCGGAAGTGGTTTCGGCCGTGCGAAACTGCTCGGAGCACCACTTGCAGGGGAAGTAGTGGTCGAAGGAAGTGGACTTACCGCGCGACCGGGCCACGAATTTTCCGCAAGTTGGACATTTGGGTCTGTCTAGAGGTTTCCTAGCGATCGAAGGCGCCGGTTCTTTCTTGACCCCCGCCACCTTCTTGGCGTCTTTACCTTCGGAGGGCGCCGGTCCCTCGTTTTCCGATTCCACCGATCCGTCGGGAGGGAGAGCGTCTTCGTTGTCCCCGTCGTCGGCAGACGACGCCCTCTTCCAGTGTTGGTTCCTCTTCTGGTGGCGAAACAGAATGTAGGCGGAATAGAACACTTCCCCGCAGACGGGGCAGCCGAAACAATTGCTGGGCATCTTGAAAGACGGGTGCTTCTTCATGTGTTTGCTCCAGGCGTAGGCCCCCACGAACGAATAGTCGCATATTTTGCAAACGAATCGATTCTCCGGGCGGGCCGCCTCTGCTCCGAACGAATGACGCCGGCGGGCCGCGTTGCCCTCCGAGTTGGGTGGGTCCTCCGGAACCTCTTCCACTTCTGTGGAGGGCCGAGACTCGACTGTGGCCAATTCCGGGCGGTCCTGGAAGACATCGCCCGAAGGGGACCGTGCGGATTTGGCCGAGTCGGGGGCGTCGGAGGACTGACATTTCCTGCAGTGCTTCTCGTAGGATTTCTGATAGCAGAAGAGGGTGCCGCACTTGCTGCAAACGAAGGAAGTGTTAGTTTTGGGCGATCTGACCGTCTTCTCCGCCTTCTCCTGAGCGCTGGCCGAGCGGCAAGAGTATTTTCTCTTTTCGTGGGCGATCAGATTCCAGTAGTAGTTGAAGACGCGCCCGCATTCCGAACATGTGTAGGGTTTGGGCCTGCAGGCTACCTTCTTGCGAGAATGGACGAAGTAGTGTCTGGCCGACTGGTAGAAGACGCCGCAGACGGAGCACGATCTCGGAAAGATCTTCCCTTTGAAGGCGACGTTAGATTCCGCGTTCATGTCCGAACATTCTCCTCCCGTCGACTCTCTCTCTCTAAACCTGAAACGAAAACGGACCCGTTAGTGTTCTGCTCCAAATTCTTCCCGCGGTTCTCCTCTTAATTTAAGGAACCGCGCGGTCGTAAGTCGAGCGCCACTAAAAAACGGTTCCTTTCCCTTCCAACCATCAATTGTTCGATCGCATTTACTCTTTTTATAGACAGAACGAATCGATGTTCGTTTTTCGAAGCATCCGAATGCAAACGAACTAAAAATAAATGAATTGTGCCACTCCATTGTTCCTTCCGCGTGAATGCTCGGAACAAATGACTCGAGTTAACTACTATGAAATTTTTCGACACTTGAAAGTAGTCTCTCGAAATTCTCATATCCTGTCGATTGGTTTGGTGTATTTAGTTACGACAATGCGACACGCGGGCAATCTGCCCAGGGGATGCCTCTCGGATGACTTTCTATCAGAAATTTGCCCATTTAGTTGTTACAGACGTTAAGAAAACCCGGAAAACGCCACACGTCCAGGCACGAATCCGCGACCAACTACCAGTGTTTTTATCCACTCGGCCATTGGTGGGCACCGGGTCCTTTCGAATCTCTCACTTTCGGCTGTTTTCTCACGGCCACGTCATTTTCATCCTTTCTATCAAAATTAACATTAATGTTCGCTTCTTGCTTCCGACGAAACTTAACAAAAAAAAACCCAAAAACTTACAAGGCTCATCCATCTATCTCTCACGACCCGAACGGGCTTCACTCATAATTTACAATACGGCGAGAGAGAAGAAGCCATGCCAGTTACAAAAGAAAAGAAATTTGATCACATGAAAACCAATGGTCTTTGTATAAATCGATAAAGTATCGCTTAATGAAGAAAAAAGCAGAGTAGCACGACTTTTTTCTAATATGCAAATTCCCCCTACTAAGACATGATTTTCATAGGGAACTCGATGATGCCCGCTATAGGGCATCGACATTTTAAGAGACTATGACACCCTATCGATATTTCCTGTTAACAAATTGTTCAATGTCAAATTTCCACTTTAGGATTTGTATATCGAACAATATTAATACATTATTCGTCGGTATAAATGGGGATTTATTTTAAACCCTTCGGCTAATCGATACACTAAAACATTGCGAAGATTCCTTAAATAGAAAACAATAATCGATATCATTATTAAAGATTTATTGACCGGATGAGGAGGATGCTATTGTCCATTCTGTAAATTATGTACATTACAGTACAGTACATTTCTACGTAAGTAATCTCTGTTTACGAACGACAAGGAGTGTTTAGAAATTAGGCATGTTTATATTTGTAATTATATTATACTTTTGTCCACTTGTAATTTTCTGTAAGTCAGATTCCATACATACAATATGAAACGAGAAATACATTGTAAGAATTCATAAAAATTTACAATGAATTTATTGTCTTTATTCAACTTAAATACTAGAAATAGATGACCTAGTTTCTATATATATATATACTGTATATATACATATACAAACAATCGATCGAACTAGATTTATTGCATGCCACACACATGCTTTAGACATTTAAAGAATTTGAAAGGCAAATTCCGTTTCTTTTATAATTGGGCCACGAATTAACGCTACACAACATATTATAGTCTCATTGAAATATATATATTTTTTAAAATATATTCAAAAAAATTAAAAGGTATAGACTATTGTATAATGGCCTCTTAGTCTTGCACGACGTTAGGGGGGTCGTGTGTCATATCTCGAGTGTGACCAGACTTATTAACATTTATATTAAAACTACGTATTTTCGAGAAAAAGAAACTGAGCTCCGCGAAAACACAATTACGGTGGCTGCTTCTAACGCTGTCTGAAGCGGTTTAAAACTCTCAGGCACGTCAAAAACGCGAAGAAAACGTATATGTGCACCCAGCAGTCTACCAATTCCAGCGATCCTTAGAACACGCACATATGCGGCCGTAGGACACACACGTGCGTGTTTTGAAAAGTTAATTTCGACACGCACGACATCGTGCATGTTAAACGCCTGTCTTAGAGATCAAAGTAAATTGACAGCAATCGCAAACTCGATTGCCATGTTGCTCGCTACCAGCTTACAATCGGCAAGTGGCCCATAGAGTTTACATGGAAAAATACTAAATACCTCTTTCTTCCTTCGGTCGGCCAGCGGTAAACAGATAAAAGATAAATAAAATTTTAAAAAACTGCGTACAAACACTAAAAAAAACTAAGATGGCCTTTTTTAAATGTGTTGTGTGTTATATTTTTACTTGGACACAGCTATTTACATCCTCACTTTACATTATCTTATAAAAGGTGTTGAAAGTGCTGCCCATGAACACGTATATAGACTTGAATCCCTTTAATTTTATTTAAAAATAGGTTTTGCAGATCTGTTTTTAAGATGTTCCTTATGTACAGTTATTATAACTTTAATTCGTGAAGCATATGTGGGCCATCTTGATACACTGCACAATTTTTTGCTCCCCATAGATAGAAGTCTGGTGGAGTAAGGGTGAGAGCAAGGGGACTACAAACTTTTAGAGATGACATGTTCTTCAAAAATCTCTTCCAAAAGTTTTATAGACTTATCAGCTGTGTGTGCAGTTGCCACCATCTTGTTGAAAATACCAGTAGTTAATTTCCTTTTCTTCAAGTTGGCTGATGAAGTTGCAAGGAATTGAACAAAAAAGGTTCACTGTTCTATACTTCTTAAAAGAAGAAAGGGCTAACAATGCAATGTCTGGATGTTGCAACCCAAACACCAACTTTTCAGTCGTATAAGAGTGTTTGGTGAAAAGCTTAAGAATTTTCCAATGACCACAATCGTGTGTTTTGTGTTTATCATGGTTCCACTCCTCAGATTAACATGCCTCATCCATAAAGAAGGTGGATATCAAGGACATTAACAGTTTTTTTTGTCTGAACGAAATTTGTATACCATTCACAATAATATATTCATTTTTTCATGATCTGCTGCTTTAATTTCCTATACTGAGATTACTTTGCATAGGAAGACATTTAATTTTTGTCAGACAGCTTTATGGTACTATTGCAAGCTTGACAACAAGATGTCAGGTTTGCAATAGTATATAAAGCTGCCAACTTGCACATTGATTTTGATGGACTCTGCTGCACAGATAAAAATGTCCATCAACTTCTCATCATTCAGTTTAGATCGGTGATTCCAAAACTTTTTCGATCCACCATTCCCTTTGTTCCATTAAGTTATTTATTTCCAACACCCCCTAACTCGTTTTCCCTTATTTGAGAAAGACTTGGAAATATTCTTAGAAAAACTTTTTCTATGAACCTCACACTTTGTGTCCTTAATGTACATTGTTCTCAACATCTGGAAACCGTCAAATGCAATGTTTCTTTTAACCATTTAACAGAGGAAAGGAAAAAATTGTCAGTGACCTCAACCTTTGCCTATGGTCGCCATTCAATACCTTGCCTCCAGTGCCCCCTGCTGTCCACTTGCTTTTTTTCGCCCCTAGATTTACTCGCTGTCCGCAGAGGGGTGGTAGCACCCACTTTGGGAACCACTGGTTTAGATGGTCCCATTTCATTCAGCATCTGTCACTGACCTTACTACATAAAATTTGTTAATAAATATACAAACTGCATTGTGGTGAGGTGCAGGTTTATCGGGAAATTTTTCAGAAAATTGTTGTGGCACTAATGCTGTTTATTGCTTTCTCAAAACATATATTCCAAAAGAAAAACATAAGCTCCTCAAGTAAAAGAGCTATTAACAATTGAATACAGTCAATATTACACAACCACACACTTCAAATGCTATTGCAACCTCCAAACTCCAGTAGTGCCAACCGAACTTCCAATATACAGTAGAATCCCAGAAACTCTATAACTTGACAGTTCATAAAACTTATTGTATTGTTTAAAAAAAATGTAATCTAATTTATATCTCTATAACTTCACACTAGAATCAAATAAGTTACCATTATTCACTAGCAACATTTGATAATAGCATCAATTCCAGGTGTTAACAAAGAATATAACCCGTTTTCCACGTTCTACTGCAAAAAATGAGATGACACAAACTTCACTAACTCAAAAGTAGCCACCAAATAGCCGATATTTTTTAACTTGAGATTTAACTACAAACAGTAGTCACTATTGGTATGTAATCAATACATATATGAATTTGCACGTATAACACCATTACGAAAATCCCACTATTTAGACTAGCATCAGGCTACATTGTAAAACTTGTCATTTTCAGTAACTTGTTATCCGCTTAGTCTACGTTACCCTCTACTACTATACAGTATAATGTATAAAAGTGCACAGCGACTTTCTGAACGCGCTATATATTTATATTTCATAATTCATTTCGGATTGCTGACAAAACCTCCTAGACCTTTGGAAGAACTCATTGAAAATGTACTTTAATATTTGATTTTTATTTGTATTAAAATAGTTTATTGACAGTTCATTTATATCATTTAATGCTTCTTGCTCTTTCAAGTTTGTAGGATGTTTGCGAGCCTTTACACATATGAGCTGTAATTCCACACTACAGGAGTTTGTGTCAGCCATTGAAATAAGTGATGAAACATAAATGTACAACTTCTAATTAATTCATATGGTTGATAATACTTTCGGAACACATTAAAGCATTACAGCTGTTATCCTCTTAAAGAGGCATTCTGATTAAAAAAAAAAAAAAACCACTAAAATTTGATTTGATATGTCTTGTAACGTATTTTTTCCCCAAGAATATTCGGTTGCATTTTGGAATTTTTAAATGTTTTGAAAAATTTGTGGATGTGACTGACTCCCATAAAAATATATTTTTGATTAATCATTGTATAAATATTTTTATACTGATTTCACTCAAATCAAATAGATTTTTCTATAAAAATTTAAAATCACTATATGGTATTGGGACTATAGAGCTTTTTATCTCTGGTAAATAAAAAGCTTTGTACGTACCTCTGATATGGTATGGATGGAAAAGATGACATCTGCACTATTGCAAGCTGTGATTTTAAAAGTGCTTATGCTTTT